CCAGAGGAGGCCACTCGCATGATCTGGGGACAACAGGGCAGACCCTACAATGAGAGACTGCGGGACCTGAACTTGTTCAGCTTTCACAAGAGAAGGCTGAGGGGGGACCTGGTGACCATCTATAAACTCACTCGGGGGGACCAGAACGGTTTGGGAGAGACCTTGTTTCCATTAGCGCCCCCCGGCATAACAAGGAATAACGGCCATAAGTTGCTAGAGAGTAGGTTTAGATTAGACATCCGTAAGAACTACTTTACAGTTAGGGTGGCTAGGATCTGGAACCAACTTCCAAGGGAAGTGGTGCTCGCTCCTACCCTGGGGGTCTTTAAGAAGAGGCTTGACACGTACTTGGCTGGAGTCATTTGAGCCCAGTTTTTCTCCTGCCCAGGCAGGGGGTCGGACTTGAAGATCTACAAGGTCCCTTCTGACCCTACTTCTATGATTCTATGAACTAACAGGGAAATAACTCACTGCTAGATTTTTATATCCCTTCTCCAGCAATAAGACTGGAAACTCCTGGTTTGATCCGGCACATCTGTTCCCTGGATCCCAAACATTCTTACGACCTGTCACAGGAGACAGAAGTAAACTACTTTTGTCCAAAATCATAGAATCACTCTCGTCTTCAAACACTATTACTGTTTCATTTGTGGTCGTTTAACATAATCTTCACAGTATTGACAATCTTCACTATTTCCTGAAAAGATATTTTAGGTAAAGACATGCTCTATGTGTTTCCTATATTGGAATACAAGAATACAGGAAATGCTTTCAACAGAAAGTTACATAGTTTTACAGTACAACCTGTCTAAGAAGACTTGCAAGGGACCAGAACAGTGACCTGGTCTGTTTGCATTAGGCAGAATCACAAGCAAATGGGAAAAACCCAACTTATGCCATAACATAGATCTTGTTCCTGTCAAACTGTAGAAGTATTTATTTTATTTCAAAGCTCACCCAAAGCCACAGAGTCCTAGTGTTTTTCAAACTAACTTCATATCAGAAATGAAAAGGGAAAGCAACTAAATGCCTTGAAGACAAAAATCAATCTAAAATAAAATATTCATATATTCAATAATATGAAGTTTCCTTCCCAGTGGTGATTTTTGTTTCACAGCTTAATTTTTCTAGCATTAAACGTCAGTGTCCCTAAATCTGAGCGTTAGCAGTTTTTAAGCTACATCAGAACACTAAACACATGATAGAAAGATTTTACAATGATTTGGAGATTTTTACATAAAATATTTCTGAATTGCTAAACAGAAAATCAAATCAAATCAACACAATACTGAAAGCATCAGGTGGATGGAGGGATTCCTGTCTCGTCTATGGATAGTACGGTTTATCTGACACCAATGAGGTATCTGATAATTAAGAGAAAGATGTATAAGATGCTTTGCTCCGTAGCATGTTGTGCATTCTTTAAGGTGGAATGTTTACTTTTTCACTTCTGCAAGAGATCCTTTAGTCATGACTAAAGGCCAATCTTGTTGAAACACAGGACTCCCTGGAACCACAACTGCCCCTTGTACTGTCCATTAAGATTCTAGTAACGTGTGCCATCTACATACTTGCTGTCCTTTCGATTCCTTCATTTCAGTCCAATGATTTAATTCCTCTTCTCCTGAGCTGTTGAGACCTAAAGAAATCCAGCCTATCATTTCTTTTCGTTTCATGCTGCGCTTATTGTACACAGACAGAATGAGCGTCACATCTGAAAGCTGAAATAGTGCCACTTGAAAAATGAAGGTTTCTTTATACACAGGGTTCGGCTGGCCTCGTCGAATCGATGTTTTGCATTTGGACATCTCCTGACCCATGGAATTCAGCAGGGTTAACTTAACATATGTATCTACAAAATAAATAATATATCAGAATGTCAGATATCTTTGACCCAAGAATATCTGCTAACAACACATTATATAAGGATATGGTGTATACCATGTGGATTGAATATAGCTTAGTCTGGACACATGTTGTTATAATGTGAAGATGATGCTAAATAAACAAAAATACTTTCAAGATAACAACAACTTAGCAGGTATTTGTACTATATTAATGAGTGAAGTTTAAGGTATACCTCATAATCCTTTCCCCTCCTCCCCCGCACCAGCATTCCCAATGTATTTGCACTAGGCAGACTTCTATAGCATTAACACTTAGCAAGCTCCAACCAGCCACAACACTGTAAAGCATACCACAGAGTTCTCAGATAATAAGAATAAACAAAATGGAATGAATACAACTAATGAAGAGGAAAAATGAATGTTGGTATGCAGCGATGACATTAAAACAGCTCAGGGTGAAATGCTTAAAAAAAAAAAAATCTCTGCATGGATGTGGTTTCTTACTTAGAGCCTTTTGGGTCTGTTCACATTTAAAGACCAAACTTCAGCCAAATGTGTCAAATGGAGCATATCTCTCTTATAATTCTTAGTTTCATGCAAGAGTACTCTGAACGTACTTTGGGAGAGAAAATACATTTTAACATAATTTCAAGCATCTCTTTAAGATGTAGCTTGTCTGGGGCTTTTAGGAAGCACTTTTAAAAATGATGTAATGTATAAAATATAAAATGTAAAATGCATTTTGTACACCATGCATTTGAGTGATAAAACCTCGTTCTTAAAACTGCATTTTTTCCTCATTTGTCTTAAAGCACCAACCAATGCTACTGGATACAGCATGTCCATTTCACAAAGTTATAACTGAATTTAAGAACTATAAAATTATCTAAAAAGTGCTTTTTTTTATTCCTGTCATTTAAATGAAAGGAAGATTATTCAAAGACTATATTCCATATAGAAAAGAACTCATTGCATGTTTTCACTTTGTAGATACTCTGAAATACCATCATCCATAATCAGAGATAAGTGCTACCTCTACTTTTAAAAGTACCACAGATAATAAATGTACATTTTTTGGAAACCAACATAGACAGCCGTGGACAGCTTTACTGCTGGCAAATTTTCTTTTGCATGAAAAAGACAACATCCAATTAGTCTCTAGAGGAACTCACCTCGGATTATATAAACCTGTCCACCTATCAAGTGTTTTAGACAACAGAACAGTCCGTCTGACAACAGGGGGTGGAAAGCAGTAAAAGAAATAATGACCAGATGTCAATAGTTGGGTGAGAGAGGATCAAAGGTTAAAGTTTAAGAGGAAACACTATTCACTGGAGTGGGAGAAGACAAAACCTTAGCAGTTCAGTTTAGAAAAAGGGTTGAACAAAAGGATTGCTGGGTAAAATTTAATGAAATGAGAAATTTGTACGGTCACTGTGTAATCTTTACCAAAAAAATTACACTGCTTAAATAATGGGCTATCTTAGTATTAACAGCTGTTGGGTTTAAAGCACATTGAACATAGAAAGAATCATGCAAGTGATAAGGTTATAAAAGACTAGGTTGAAATCACTGACTTTTTAACCAAACCTTATGCTTTTTCATGCAAACTCCAGCATATTAAGGAAAACTACATGATGTTATGCTCAATATATACAAACAATAAAATGAAAGACTACCAAACTGAAAAGTTAACCCTACAGA